GGCCGACTGGGCCCGGAGGATTCCTGAGAGTCCCGGGAAAGGGCAGCGGGCCGCGATGGAATCGGCGTGGTCGTTGGCGCCCCCCCCGCGTCCGGCCCCCCCTGCAAGCCGACTCCTCCTACATACTATTACGCAGGGAGAGGGCGGCGAACAAGGGGATGCCCTCATGCCCGCGCTCTTCTGCTTGGCCCTTCCAGCACTCACCCACATCAGAGACTACCGCTGGCACCGCATATTTATGGCATCGTCTCGTGTATCTGCCGCTGCGCCGGACATTTGGATCAATGGAAAGGCTTGGTACTACAGCCTGGGGGTCAGGATCTTGGGCAACAGCCGACGCCGGAAGGTCCAGTATTACCTTCCTGTCCACGCCCCCCAATGAGTGCAAATTGGCCTGGGTACATACGACAACCATCGGCTCGGGCGAAAATCCGGTGATTACTCCACACCAGAACTTGGGCCGATAGAGGTAAGCTATGGATGGCTCCTTCTGGGAATGATAATGGGGAGCGTCCTGAACATACAAGTAATGCTGCTATGTATGGTGTAGAGACGGGCTCCTATAACACCACCGCCTTCGATACACCAGCCCTCCAACCACAAATCAGCCAGGAGGAAGCCCCCGCACGCTCAATACTCCCATGGGGCTCGCCTGGGGCTTCCAATGAACATAATGATGCCAATAGCGGGTGCTACCGCTCCCATGCCTGATCCGACGCCAATTCCTACTCTATCTCCACTTTGGCGGGCCAACCGCACAACGCCTGCGTCATACCAATTTACTGTACCTGGTTCGGGCTCTGGCTCCAGATTTACCGCCGGCATCCACGTCGGCGAGTGCATCTACGACGACGACAACAACCCATCGATATCCAATACTGTCATTCACGGCTTGGAGGAAGGACGCGAGGATAAGGGCGGGTATGATTGGGCGATCAATGATGTTTCCACGAGGCTCCAGGAGGAAACAATTCTCGAGACTTCCAGAAAAAACCAATACCCCATAATAATTAACGAAAAAACACCTTCCAACACCGGCTACCGATCCCACCGCAAATTTGGTTCCGATTCCGACCGCCGATCTTGCCAGAGGTACCGATACCATCGAAACGGAGGATGTTGACAAGGAAAACGAAGAGAAATACGACGATGCCGATAAGAAGAAATGCTCTCTCGGACCTCTGTGGGATTCCTTTGGTGGAGCCACGTCTGAAGTTTAGGGGACATGTTGGGAGCCCCATCGATCATAAAAAATCGACCTCAACCTTGGGAGCCCCATTGAGCACTCCAAAATTGATCTCCACCCTGGGAGCCCCGACATCGGGCACGGCAAGGCTTGTAGTATCGACCGACGCCGGCTCCCATCCACCATATGGTATGGGCATATGTTTTCAAGTGCCAAATCTAGTTTTCTATGTCATCGAAGTGCGTTTGCAAAAGAAGGGTTACGACGTGTTATGCGTGGACATACGACGGTATACTTCCAACAACTTACTTACATAAAGATTTGCGGCACCGGTACCAACGTATTTGTAAGCATGCAGGATCATGTTCCGCCACTTCCCGTACAAATTTTCACCGCATGCAAGATCACGGATCAATGAAGCTGCGCACCTGGGACCTCCCAGGACACGGATCGACGAAACGCTGCGGTTATTGGGTCTTGGGCCGGCCACCAGACATCGGCCTGAAACATTACGAGAAACACATTCACAACCTGAACGAGACGTTCAACCACATCCACGAGGGGTTCCAGAAGGAGGACATCGGCTTCAACGACCATTTGACTCACCACCTGCTACCCTACTGCAGCACCAAGTGGCCTACGACCGTACGGAGTGGTCCGCCTCCCCACCTCCCATTCTTGACTTCCTATCTTCTTGCCCAACCTGCCCCCATGCCCGCCCCCATTCCCCTGCCACCGTTCACCGTATCCCAAAGGCTTTTGCAGACGAACCCCTTGAGACTCAACCTACGACCGTGGAATCGTTGTCTCCTGGCAGGGCGGAATACAAACCCCTCCCCAGAGCCGCACGGACCCTTACCTCCCCACCCGGGCTTCCCATACCTGTCCCCGGCGTGGCCCAACAAGCAGTGCCGGCTGTTCATTCTATTTGTACTCCTCCCCCATCTCCCGTGCAAGCTGACCCTGATCAAGCCTCTACCTCCGAGCGATCCCAAAAATCCCCCCAAAGCGAATATGCCACACCGCCTCCTTCACCGGGACCTCGACGGTGTGACGACGGCCGCGACGATCTTTTCGACGCTGGCCCTCTTCCCAACCAACCACCCCTTCCCCGACCGAGCGAGCCACTACGAAACGAACAACAACCACACCCATCCAGTGACGAACGATCCGATGCATTACCATGCCAACCACCCACCCTATACAACCGGGCACGCCGCAACATGCACCACAGCGCGGACCGGCGTGCTTTGGATGTGTTGGGCTTACGGCGTCCGGTTCTACCACCGCCGCCGCCTCAACAATTGGCATGTGACATCATCGGGATGAGTCACGTAGACGAAGATGAATCAGATGTGGGGTCTCAAGCATCGGCGACGTCGGCGGGGCCCGCGGCACGCGCGCGCGAGCGGCGCCGTTCCTTTTCCGGGCGCGCACAGGGGGGCTCGGTTGTTGGGTCTCCCCCACAAGAAAGCGCGAGCGGCATAGGAGGCCGCCGCCAGTGGTGAGGGGCAGCGATGACGATGCCGCCGCCCACGACGACGACGTCGCCGCCGACAACGACGACGATGACGAAGATGACAACGTCGACAGCATCGACGTCGACCGGAAAGGCAAAGATAAGGGGGGCCAACTCACGGGGGGAACGTCGATCTTGAATCGGCGATACATCGCCGGTAGAATGGCGATGGGCGCCCGATAGAGAAGACGCGCATTCCTGGGTTGGGTTAGCTATCGGACCCCGGTTGGCGATGAATCCGAGCCAATCCCCTTGCCGCGGCCCCTGAAAAGGGAGGGGAACGCAGGATGAGGGAGTGCTTTTGTTGTTGGTTGTGTTTTGTCTTTGTTTGTTGCTACGAATTCAATTCAGAACGGTAATTCTTGTCGATCCCCCCCGTCCGGTGCGCCTTGTACTCTTCATCTGAAGCGCCCCATGGGGCTCGCACCTTGTGTTTCTCGGGGAAAGTCTTGCACTTTACGTTGCGTTGATGCCCCCCGACTATAGCAATGGCTCCCGCCGGATACTTTTCATCACTTCGTCCAGAATCGCACTTTCGCGGGGTGTTTCCTCGCAGTTTGCTCAGGAATCGCGCTCTCTCCCGCGACTTCCCTGCAATCTATTCGGGTACCACGCTGTCGACGCCCAGGAGATCGTGCCTCACCTGAGGCTTCTTCGCGATGCAGCTGTTCGCTTCAGTGCCCCGCCTGCACAATTCGCAGAATAATGCCAGCTTGTCGTTCACAAAAACAAGCGGGGAGTGCGATTCAAAAAGTGACCCCCCTGCTCTGGCGAATCGCGGGGGGCGGAGCGCACGCCAAATGGAAACGCAGGGCGGCAGCGCCAGTCATTAGCGCCGACGCCCGGGCGACAGCTGGATAATTAGCGACCGCCGCGACGCAAGCAGCGCCGCTTCAGCGGAGGGGGACAGCAACACCTCCGCTATAGCGGGGTGCTTGGTCCAAAATGGCTACAGACGACCATTTTGGTCCAAGCGCCGACATCCGAGGACCAAGCGGGCCCGAGGTGCGCCTGGCTGACGACAGGGTGGCTCCGTCGATCGAACATAGGAACCAACACACATCTTACAATCGCATTTTCGGAGGTCCGCGCGGATCGGCACGGAGCGCGGAAAGCGCCAGGGGCGGCGCCGGAGGCGCTGCCAGGGGGGTCCAGCGCCGATCCAAGACGTCCGCGCGGACCTCCGAAAACTTATGAATATGTATTTGTTTCTTCTTCGATCGTATCCTCGACCCTCTTTGGGTGACCCAACAGGGGGTCCAGCTGAAAGGGGGTGGTGCAATAGATTTGTAGCAACTGTATTGCACCGGAGAATTGTAATGCATTGTATTGCAAGTACATGTTTTGCACGCGAAAGTCCAGCAAGACATCTGCGCCCCGGAATGTATTGCACGCCCCACAAATCTACTGCACCAAATCTATTTTGCACCACCCCACTGTCGCTGGACCCCCTTTTGGGTCAACCCGAGATCCTCGAGACCCTCGAGACGGCACGAGCGGCCCTCGACGCTTCGACCTTTCGAGACGGCGGACCTCGAGACCCTGGACCCCTAGGCGAAATCTCGACCCTTCGAGACGACGTCGAGCGAGAGTTGGCGGCGCGCGCAAATGGGTGGAGGGAGGGGGGAGGGCTTCTTAGAGAAGGAGGCTGCTCCTGAAAGGCGCCGGCCTTTTACGTAAGGCCCGCGCATTCTAAGCGGGGGTGCTTCAAAGAAGCCCTCTCCCCTCCCCCCACCCCCCCTCTGCGCGAAGCTGAGAGAGGAAGTGTGCAGACCCGGCTTTCCCGGTGCCCCCCCAGCGCCAGATGTCAGGCGCGGGACTGGGACCAGCTGCACCACCAGCAGATTTCGGAAATCGCACTCCCTCTCTTCTCCTCCTCCTCCCTCCCTCCCTCCATCCTCCCTCCCTCCCTCCTCCCTCCCTCCCTCCGCCCTCCCTCACTCCCTGCTCCTTCCTCCTCCGTCCTCGCCCCCCTCCCTCCCTCCCACATTCCTCTGCTTCTGCTCTTGCTCTGCTCCTGTTGATCCCCCTTCCCTTCCTCCACCACCTATGCTGCTGCTGATCCTCCTCATCCTCCTTCCTCCCCCTCTCGTCCTCCCCGAAGGTCAGGACAGAGGGAGGGATAGACGGAGTGATGGAGGGAAGGGAAATAAGGATGATGATGAGGCAGGGGAAGGCGATGAAAAGGTATCGCAGAATTCTGGGTCATCTGAGCACAATTCGGAGGAGTAAGAGTCGCAAGGATCAGGAAACCATGCGAAGGACGTCGTAACGGGGGATGAGATAGAAGAAAAGACATCACGACGAATCAAGACGGCGATCGTGACTAACGGTACAGAAACGTGAGCGGATTGAACAGGCCGTCGCGGTCTCATGCACCATCAGCGGGCTATCTCAGAGTCGACCTCATTCTCGCGCAGTTGTTCCCTACTCCTCTAACCCTTCCTCTATGATGGGTGCACAGCGAAATCTCGATTGCAAGGCATCTTATAACACTGTGGAGATGTCGTAGCGGGCGAAGAACCGCGTGCGTGTCATGTGGGTTCGGCACTTCATATGTACCACATCAGAACTCATGGCAATCTTAATGGCCCTGCTGGAGGAAAGAAACCTGGGAAACTTGCCGCGTTGAGCGACATGGTAATACGACGATTACCCATGTCATACCGCCTGTCGACGTGTGTGGGCAGGGTGACGCGAGAATTCCGGGTGCGCACACATGCCCAATGAACCGCCACCAGGCCATGGGTAATGAATACAACGGCAGGTCCTCAATAGTCCCCAGGACTGCGAACTGTCAATGCTCTCTATGGTCCCTACTTCTGGGCGCTCTTGGGGACTTCCTGGAACAGCTGGGTGAACTTTTACGAGACCTTGGTGCTTCGGAATGCAAACCGCTAACATGCCTCATTGTATCTGAATGTTACGGCCTTTTCAGCTTGCAGAGCGTCCACAACGACCGAAGAGGCTCCGAAGATCGCGTCAGTACTGCCTCAAGCTTCCCAGAGAGGGCTCAAAAAGTGCCTCCGAGGGGTAATTCGAAGGAGCCCCAGGAGGCCATCCCTCCTCAGGGGGTTCCCAAGAGGCTTCTGAAAGGCCTCCAAGAATCTCCTCAGAGACCCTCAAGAGGCCTTCAAAGTGTCTCGGGTCCACGACACATGCAGGGTGGCGGGCCGTGGCGGAAACCACAAAAAGACAAATGCTAGCATGTATTTGCGTATGCCCGTGCACGTGCGAGCGCATAGTCACAAATACGCAGGCGTACACATGGTTGTACGATGTGATACGACCACCGCTGCGGACATCGTCCGGGCCTAGATCAGACAAGGTGCACGAGGCCTTGGCCTCAGAAATCGGGCGTTTGCACGACGGATTTCCGTATGGCAATGTCAATGTCATGCACTGGAACACGTGCCGAGCTCAAATTGCCGACACCGTAGATTGCACGCTAAAGGGCGGGAGGAAAAACAAGGAACCAACGATGAACTGGCGTACGACCGCCGAAAGAACACGGCAAACTCCGATTGACAAACTCTCAGAACGCGAACCGCTCATATCAAACCGAACACGTCCCACATCATATTGGGCGCTGGAAACGGCAAAACGATCTTGTGTGCCCCTTTTCAGAAGACAATATCTGGAACACGAAAGCGGTAATTAAACAACTGCTCCTGGAAACGGGGCAAATCGGCTCCAGGATTGGAGCCGAAACTGGAACAACAACGGCGGCAAAACGGGAAACATATGGCGCTAGAACCGGACAAGAAACGGCAAAACGAAAACTGTAAAACAGCAGTTAGGTCGGGCATGTCGCCCTACAGGCGGATTTTGGACGGAAAAAACAAAAATACCCCAAAAATGCTCCAAACAGATTGAAACACTAATGCACAAATCGCCCCCATACTATTCTCTGACTAGTTTAAGTTCTTCCTCCTGTAGAGGGACAGGCCCGACTTACAGCAACAGTCCTTTTGCCTCCACGGCTCAGACGTGTAGTTCGCGCCAAAAACGCGGTGCGCTGCATGTGACCACGCACCGTGACGCGGCACACTGATCACTGAACCGACCTTGCAGACGTGCTGCAGCGGATTTTTGCGTGCATTTCTGTCAATGCAAAACCCCGAAACGGCAGGTGAAAAACGAAGTGAATTTCGCGAGAGAGGACCCAGAGGCTCCTCGATAGTCCTCGCCGAGAGAAGTGCATACGTCCGAGCGATGCCAACAGAAGCGCTGCCATTGCACGCTGCCTTCCACCTCCAGTTGTCACCCTGGCCGCGAGCGACGCGGAGCGTGGTCGGAGTACAGAGGATTGAGGCCCTGTTCAGGGGTCAAAAACCGATCCGTGGGCCTCTCCTGGGGTGCAGCCTATAACTTCGACGCGGATTCAGCCGTGGCCACGCGAGCGCCACAAGACGGCCAAGAGCTTCAGAGAAAAGCGAACCCCCATCCTCGAACCTCTGCACAAATCGTTCCGTGGATCTCACCTGGGGTGCGCCCTGTCTCGAATTTCAAACCGGATCCCGATGTGGCCATGGGGGCGCCCCAAGACGGCCAAACAATTTCCTGAAGAGAGCGAACCTCGATCCTCGAAGCTCACATGACTTGGCCTCACATGGCGATGCTATGTGCCAAAGCCGCGCGAACCGCGATACCTCGCGACGCAGCAGGTAGTCTCGGGTCTCAGGACTAGCGCACGGGTGTGTGTAAAGGTACCCAGAGAGGCACAAACAAATCGACACACATTCCAATATTCCCATGTTTCCACATGTAACTGATTTTTTGTGGACCCCCTCAATTTTTTTTACCATTTCCTAGAACTTTCTGTCAATCAGCGATTCGTTACTGTTTGTGCTGCTTGTTTCCCGGAGGGTGGGGCGGGGGTGGTGCGCCTCCCCAGACGGTGAGCGCCGTCTGGCCGCCGAAGCTTGCCGTCGCTCGGGCGCCCATTCCCCGCTCATTTCTCGCCTCTGTTTTGTCCGACCTTTTCCGACCCTCCTGTGGTGCTGGGTCGATCCTCGTTTTGAAGAGACAGCGCTTCGCCTTCCTTCTCTCTCCTCCCCCTCTTCCCTCCTCCCCTGCGTGCCTCTGCTCTCCGCATCAGTCCACCATCTCGGCACACCCCTCACACGATTCGTGGCCCCGTAGGGAGCTCAACCGAAGGCCCCAATGCATGTGTCCACATGCGTCCCCGCCGCTAATTTCGGCACACCCACATGCGTCCCCGCCACCGTCGGCACACCCCTCACACGTTTCGTGGCCCCACAAAGAACTCCACCGAAGGCCCCAGTGGCAGTGTCCACACTCGTTCCCGCCACCCGTGTCGGCACAACCCTCACACGCTTCATAGCTTCATAGGGAGCTCCACCGCATGCCCGCATGCGTCCCCGCACCAATTTCGGCACAATCTTCACACGTTTCATAGCCCCACAGGGAGCTCCATCGAAGGCACCCGTGGCGACATTCGCATGCGTCCCCGCCACTCATGTTCGTATAGCCCCTGCACGTTTCGTGGCCCCGTAGGGAGCTCTACCGAAAGCCCCAGAGGCGACGTTCGCATGCGTTTCCCCCGCCCAATGCACCATTTCGTGGCTCCGTAGGGAGCTCCACCGAAGGCCCAAATGGATGTGCTCGCATGTGTTTCACCCACCCAGTGCAATGTTTCGTGCCCCCCTGGGGAGCTCTACCAAAGGCCCCCGGAGGCAACGCTCGCATGCGTTCTTTCTATCCAGTACAGCGCTTCGTGGCCTCATTGGGAGCTCCACTGAAGGCCCTAGAGCGACGCCCGCATGTGTTCCCCCTGGCCAATACAACGCTTCGTGGCCCCGTAAGGAGCCCCACCGAAGGCCCCAGATGCGACGCTCGCATGCGTTTCCCCCGTCCGATATACTTTTCCTGGCCCCAAAGGGAACTCCACCGAGGACCCCAGTGGCCGCGGCGGCATGCGTTTTCCACACCGAGGCCTCAGAGGCGACGCCCACATGCGTTTCCTTTACCCAATGCAACGTTTCGTGGCCACCGTGGCAAGGGAGTTCCACCGAAGACTCCAGTGGCCGTGGCCGTGGTCGCATGCGTTCCTCCACCCAGTGTAGCGTTTCGTGGGCCCAGAGGGAGCTGCACCGATAACCCCAGTGGCCGCGCCCCCACGCGTCTCCCTCGTCCATTACGGCACACTCGTGGCCTCACGAGGAACTCCACCGAAAGCGGTACCGACAACGCGACACTCACAACTGCATATGGTTGGGCCCTTCGCCTGGGTCCTTTTTTGTTGTCCGCAAGATGATCCACGATGCTCCTCGATGTTCCAGGTCTTCTGGCGCTGGCCTCGCCGAGTGAAGATGCTCACGCCCGAGCGATGCCAAGGCGAGGGGCAACGATAGGGGGGGGGGGCCGGCGCAGGGGGGGCACATCGGCCCGGAAACGGCGACACGGCGCGGATAGATCGGCGGTAGGCCCCCGAGGATGAATCCGCACGTTCCTGGGCGGGTGGGGGCCATTCGGCCCCTAAGGGCGATCCGTGGGCGATCAGGGGTCGATGCATCCCCCCAATGCCTGTCCCCACCAACGTTGCCCCCGACAGGGAAGGAGACGGCGAAGCAACCACGCTCGAGCTCAAGAGCCCAGTGCGAAACGACAGGAGTCTGGACGGGCGGCTGCCCAGGGCAAGAGAGCCCGGAATCGAATCGGTAAGTCAAGTCGGCAATCGAAATGCATCGGATCGGCGGAAATCGGCAGCCAAGTCGGGAGGAGCCGAATCGGCGGGAAATCGAAATCGAGCCGAATCGAACCAGAGGAATCGGAACGGGCCCTGCAGGGAGGGCAGGCCCGTGCGCGCCGAGCCCCGCGCGGCGAAGACGTCGTGTCGCTCATCCTCGAGGACGACGCCTGCCAGGATCGGCGCGTCTCTCCCTGGGGGACGGGTGGGGGGCCCCGGGGAGCGTGGGGCGGGGGAGACGGGCGACCTGGCAGGGAGGGGGAGCAGGCGGAGGCGGAGGCGGAGGCGGAGGCGGAGGAGGAGGAGGAGGAGGAGGAGGAGGAGGAGGAGGAGGAGGAGGAGGAGGAGGAGGAGGAGGAAAGGCCGAGGAACGGCGCCGAAGGCGCCGCCGGGGGGCCCAACGCCGATCCAAGAGATCTGTGCGGAGCTTCGGCAAACATGTTGGTGCCGTTTCGTCTTCGTTCCTGGGACGGGGAACGGGATGTGGGGCGGGCGGGAGGATTGGGCGGTCGCGGGCGGAAGCGTGGGCGGAGTGGGCAGGAAAGGAAGGCGACCGCGGCCATGGGGGAAATAATGGGAATAAGACCGATTCCAACCACTTCGGACCGTTCACGGAAAACTTCGGACCTATTGCAGCCGCTGGAAACGGACTGATCGCAACCTACAAAGGATCTTCATACGAATCCACTCGGGGATCACTGGATACACTCGCGAAGAGAGCTTCTGAAGAGCTTCTGAAGAACTTCTGAAGAACTCCTGAGGACTCCTGAGGACTCCTGAGGACTCCTGAGGACTCCTAAGGACGCCTGAGGACTCCTGAGGACTCCTGAGGACTCCGGGAGAATCCACCCGATTGAAGGATTATGAACGGATCTCAGGGAATCTGAAGGATCCTAGAATATTCTGAAAGATCATGTCGCATTCTGTCGGATTCAGAAGGATTCTTGAGGGTTCTGGCGGATTCTGAAGGATTCAGAAAGGTTCTGAAGGATTCTGGAGGATTCTGAAGGATTCTGGAGGACTCTGGAAGAATCCTCGGGAACCTGTAGGTTTTCAGAGGATTGCTAGGGAATTCTTCGGAATCCTGAAGCGTCCTGAGAAATCCTTGGGAGTCCTGAGCAGTCCAGAGGAATCCATTGAAATACTTCGGGCTCCTTCGTCGGGCGCGGCCTAACCGACCCCTACCAGACCATCCCCTTCTGCGACGTCATCCTCGCCCTTCGAATCCCCCTCTGTCCGCATACATACGTCTTAGGGCGAAGCGAGGGGGACGTCACGGAAGGGGATGCTTTGCTAGGGGTCGGTTAGGCCGCCCCTGACTTCGGGGTCGTGAGGGATCTTGAGGACTCCCAAAGTGTCTAGAAACATCCCAAGGAATCAGGAGGAATCAAAAGGAATTGTTGGGAGTCCTTCGGGGTCATTCGGAATCCTGTGCTATCCCGGGGAATCATTCGGAATCCCGAAAATCCTCAGGCATCCGGAGGAATCCGTAGGATTCCTTCGGAAATCTGGAGGATTCCCGAAGATTCCGCAGGAATCCCCGGGAATCCTGAGGTACCCCCAAGAATCATTGTAGGAATTCGGCCGATGCCTTTGGAATCCGGAAGAATCCATCGGAATCCTTTTGAGTCCTTCGTAGTTCTGTGCGTCCTGAAGAGTCCTCCGAAATCCATCGGGATCCTGAACATCTAGGGAATCCTTGGGAACCTGAGGAATTCGGCGGAATCCTTCGCGAGGCGGAAGTATCCTGAGGAATCCTGAAGACGTGCGAGGGATCCTGAGGAATCTGGAAGAATCATGTGGAATCCTGGAACAATTCTTCGGAATCCTGAGAAATCCTTTGGGGTCCTTAGAGATCCGTCGGAATCCTTAAGAATTCTTCGGGACCCAGAAGAATCCTTTGGAATCCTTGGGATCCCGGGAATCCTGAGAAATCCTGCTGAATCCCGTGTCTTCAGGAATCCCGAGGGGTCCTCCGGATTCCTGAGCAATCCTTCGGACTCCTTGGGGATCTTGATGGCTCCTGGAGATTCTTTCGGAATCCTTGGGAATCCCGGGGAATCCTTCGGAATCCAAATGGGTTCTCTGGAATCCTTCGGAATCTTCAGGGATCGACTGGAATCCTGAAGAACCCTTCAGCATCCAGCGGAGTCCTGAAGAATCCGGAGGGTTTCCCTGGAATCCAGAGGAATCTCGACAGATCGACGGAATGCTGAGGATTGAAGATTCCGGAGGAATTCTAGGGCCCCAAAGGAATCTGGAGAATTCCAAACGAATCATCAAAATCCGGAGGGTTCCTACGGAGCCTGGAAAGACCCTGCGGAATCCTGAATCCTGAGATTCCGAACGGATCCTCAAGAATAATGGGGCTTCCCACGGTCGAGAGATCACGGTCACGGTCGAGCTCAAGTACATGTGTTTTGCAGAGATCACGGTCGAGGTGGCGAACCGTCGCGATCGGACGGATTGCAACCGCCTTATCAGACTTCCATCGGGAGGGTCAGACGAGCTCACTGCATCCAGAAGCGCTCTTAAGATCTCTTCCTTGATCGAAAGCTTATGAGGCGACCCCAACACGTCGCAACCACTTAGGACCGATCGCAACCGGTTGCGATCGGTCCAAGTGGTCGACGATCGTTCCGAAGTGGTTGCGATCGGTCGTGGTGGCGGGAAGGAGGGGGGTGCGCAGAGAAAGGAAGCATGGCCAGGAGGGGTGTGAATGAACAACACATTCCATAAGCATAGATTTTCGGAGGTTCGTGTAGACATTTTGGATCGGCGATAGGCCACCTTGGCGGTGCCAGAGGCGCCGCGCTCCGCGCGCCAGGGAGGGGGGTCCAACGCCGATCCAAACAATCCGCGTGGACCTCAGAGAATTTGTGTTTATGGCGTTCGTTCTTCCTCGGGACCATGGAGAAAGGGGGGAAAGGAAGGGAGGGACGGGAGGTCCGCCTGGTGCCGCTTGAGCGTGACAGAGCTCGCCGCACGCGTGAGCTATGGGCTTCGCCTAGACAGGGGCTGATCTCTATACCAGAGCTGCAAGATGTGCATCGAGGCCTGCTCCTTCCTGTCCCCCCGACACCCCTCCCTCTCTCGGATCGGGCGCAATCCCTTTAGGTCGGGCATGTTCTCCTACAGGCGGGTTTTGGACAACCGAGAAAACATACCCCAAAAATGCACTACACATGCACAGCAATACTCAAAATATCGTCCTCAGACTATTTTTTGACTATTTTTGAATATTCCTCGTGTAGAGGGACAGGCCCGACTTCACCCTCCCTCCCCCCTCCCCCCGCGCTGATCCCGAGGCCAGCCGTTGCCGAACGGACGATCCGAAGCGCCATGTGAAGGGGCCCAGGAACACACACACACATGAATACACACAAATCCCAGGATTCCCCATACTTTCCTACATTGTCTGGGCTATCGTCTTCTCCCCCGCTTCCCATATGTTCCCACCTTTTTCCTGGGGGTCGACGATCCGTTGTGTCTGTGTGTTTCTCCCCCTCCTGATCCTCTCTGGCCTCGGCCGGGGGCCCGCGCGGCGACAGCGGGTGAGGGCCGCCCTCGCGACACCGCGCGCCCAGGACCCGAGGGCGCCCCCCTTCGAGATGGCCCCGCGGATGGGCGCGCCCGCTCCCTGCAGTCTGGCCGCTACCATTCGGTCGGGCCTGTCCCCCTGACAGGAGGATCTTGGGCGAAAGATAAAACACCCCCCCAAATACCTCCAAATAGTCAAACACAAATGCAGCAAACTCGTCACCATATTATCATTACTACTATTATTATTATTATTACTACTACTATTATTATTATTCTGATTCTTATTATTATCTTTCATATTATTGTCGAATATCCCTCCTGTAGAGGGACAGGCCCGGCTTAACGCTACCATGAAGAACGCGAAATCAGACCGCCCTGCGGCGTGCAACAGAAACACGACGGACGGTTCTTGCTTAGTTTCTGCCTCTGGGGGCTCTCGCCGGGCCCCGGGACCATCACAAAACGGTCCAGGATGGGTCGAGACCAGGGGGTCTATGCTGTGAACATATGTACTACCTACCAAACCACCCCAGCCCCCCACACGGAGACCCGAATTTCGGGTTTGGGGGCGGGGTACGGGTTCCACACGTGATTTTTCAATGTTCCCCGACCCCCCCCGCACTGGGGAAGAAGGGAAAATCAGGGCCGTCGGGTTGGATTGGCGTGGTTTGGTGGGCGGTGACAGAGCATGACGTCGGGGGTCTGGGTCTTCGGCCCCCGCTGTAAACGACTGGGTTTACGTAGAGGGCAGAAAATCCACCCAGACAATAACCACCCCGACACGTGAAGCCGTTTAGTAAACGCCCCCACCGCAGGCATCGAACAGGGCAGGGCTGTTTAGTAAACGCCCAAGGCCGTTTAGTAAACGTCAATTGTCCGGTCCAGGTGGCTTTTCCTCCCTTGACACAGTAAACGACTGGGTTTACGAGCAGCGCTGGAGGAACAGCCAGGGAGGTCCCCATCTGAGCCTCAGCGAGCCCCTTCCGAACCAGACAATTCCGTATGTCGGGGAGACGTAAGACTCGGGTGCGGGGGACTCGGGTTGGCCTGACAAGGGCCATCATAAAAATTACGAAACCCAATCTGAAATTTCAGGCGGGCTCCCGCTGCAGACATCCCACGAAACCGGGGCCGTCAAAATCCAGGACGTCCTCGTAAACAAAATCGGCAAACCCGAATTCCGGCTTACTCGAGTCTTACGTTTCCCCGAATATGGTCCGAACTGGTCCTCATTTCAGCGCGTAGCAAAAAGTGGTACTGCTTGCCGGCACGGTGGAACTGCTCCACGCGGCGCGCAACATGAAACTCGATGACGGGTGCCAGCACGGTGGGCGTGACGCGCTCCACTTGTTGCATTACACGCAATCATTGAAACCATGAGCAGCAGGCGCCGACTGGAAATCAGGAGCTACCACGCTGGAACAAGGAGGACGAGGTGGGGCCAGGCAGAGACGGCAGAGGAAAAGCGGAAGGGAGGAGAGGGCAAAGACTTGAGACCGAACCTGCAGCTCGAACCATGCATACGTTTCATGAGCAGCAAGCGCCGACTACGTGAACAAGCATAGACAAGCGCGCTCCGCTACTCGCACATTAACTACTCGCAAACGGTCCGGATCCGCCGAGGGGGATGTGCGATACATTACATCGAGGCAGACGCTTGTTTTAAGAGCCCTGTGCGAATAGGCACTTTGCGAGTAGTGGAACGCGTTCGGTGAAATAGAAGAAGAACAAAAACACAAAACATACACTTTCGACGGTCCGCGCGGATTTCTTGGATTTTCGCTGGAACCCCCTGCCTGGCGCGCGGAGCGCCCCAGGGGCGGCGCGGCGCCAGAGGCGCCGCCAGGGGGGGCCCAGCGCGGATCCAAGAAATCCGCGCGGAGCGCCAAACGTTCATGGTTATGTCGTTTTTTCTTCTTCCAAGACCGGGCTGACGGCGTGCTTGGTTAACTGTGCGGTTGGGATTATGTTTGTGACACCGAACTCACGCAAAACAACATTTAGGAAATCACGAGGCACCGCTTCCTACATTGCAGATCTGCGAATGCATCGAGCGAAACAACGACACAGCGAGTCGTAGCAAAACGCGAATCACGCGCTCCCACAATTGGGCCACGAACCACGCCTTCCTACAAATTGGTTTTCCTACTTCGCCGTTAGTTCACACACCTTTAGCGCGTCTACGGTGGAACGCGCTCGGCGAGAACAAGAGGAGGAGGAGGAGGAGGAGGAGGAGGAGGAGGAGGAGGAGGAGGAGGAGGAGGAGGAGGAGGAGGAGGAGGAGGAGGAGGAGGAGGAGGAGGTGGGCGGAGGGGGAGAGGGTGGGCGGAGGGGGAGGAGGAGGAGGAGGAAGAAGAAAAAAACCACAGCAATCGCGGGCCGCGGCGCCTCTGGCTGCCGGGCTGGGCTCTCCGGCCCCTGCGGGCCCGCGGGGGGGAGGCTGGGCGCACCGTGCGGCGGCGGTGCCGTCGGCGGCCGGCTGCCGCAGACGCTGCACTGCTGCCGCTCCTGCGCTGCTGCTCGTCCTCGTATGGCTGGCGCTGGAAAGAGAGGAGGAGGAGGAGGAGGCGGGAAGGGAGGAGGAGGAGGAGGAGGGGAGGGAGGAGGAAGTGGAGGAGGGGGAGGAGGAGGGGGAGGAGGATGGCGTGCAGCATCGGTCTCCGAGAGGCACGCTGCCCCTCTGGGGCGACCCCCCCGCGAGGGCCCCTTCTGTGCGCGGTGTCCCCCTGCCAGGGCTTCTTCGGTGCACGCTGTCCCCCGAGGGATAGCGCAGAATAGGCGGGCCAGCGGCGCCACATCGTATGCTATCTCTCCCACGCCAACGGCAGTCTTTCCTCCTGCTTCTCCTCTTCGTTCCATTCCCCCTCCTCGCCATCACCGCCGCCGCCCTCCTCCTCCCCACACTCGTTCTGCTCCTTCTGCTCCTCCTCCTCCTCCTCCTCCTCCTTTTCGCCATCTCCTCAGGGAGTATGAGGCCAGCTCTGCGCTTTGACTGATCCGCCCTCCCTCCTCTTCTTCCTGCCCCTTCTCTCCGCCACCCACCCCTTTCCGGCTCTTCTCGTCCACGCCTCCCCTCCGCCTGCTCTCAGACAAGCTGCCACTGCCTCCAACATCATTGCGCGATTGCGCTGCTCCGTCGCGTTTTTGTGGTTTGATAATTACAATCGGCCCGTATCATAAGGATGCAAGGGCCTTGGAAGGCTATTTCGAAGCTTTTCGAGCGGGGCGCGGCCAGCGATAGGGGCCAAGGATGGACCGAGGAGGCAAGGATGCAGGGGTAGCCTTGGGAAACTTGCCCATCCATACTATGCGGGTTGACTGTACGTAGTTACGCCGTCGTTCCATTCTCTTCCTTTGAGGGGCAACGATCGGGGGAGACCAGCTCAGCGAGAGAACGTCGACCCAGACTCGGCGATATGTCGCCGACACGTCGGCGATAGGCCCCCGACGGAGAAGCGATGATTGGGCGACCTCGAGTCGATGCGTCTCCCCCCGTGGGCTTGTTCCTCCCTAGCGTTGCCCCCTGACTTGTACACTCCCCTCCTCCCCCTCCTCCTGTCCAATCGTTCACATCTGATGGGGAGAAGGCTTCGCTTGCGCAAGTCGCCTGGGGCGCACAGCCGCCGCTGCGACCCTCCAACATCCTCCCGCCCTCTCTTCCTCTCCGCGGCATTCGGTGGGGCCTGGCCAGGGGTCCCTCGGTCGATGTATCACCCCTTGAGCTTATCCCCCTCAACGGTGCCCCTGAGGGGGAGGAGGAGGAGGAGGAGGAGGAGGAGGAGGAGGAGGAGGAGGAGGAGGAGGAGGAGGACAAGTGTAAACCCAAGGGTCATCAACGAGGTTGGAATTCACCTTCCTTCCAAGCTCCTCCTTCATGGGCCCCTAAAAGGTTTCATTTCCATTGAGGGAAAAGCCTCGTCGGAAGACAACCGTTCACGGATCAACGCCACGGATCGACGTGACTGCTGCGCCTGGACGATCCGGAATCGTGCCAGAATGCCGTTTTGAGACTGCAACACCGCGAATCAATATAACTGTTGCGCCCGCATAACCCCGAATTCTTCCAAAACGCAATTTCTGGTACGTTAATCACGAGTATCCGTAGAACTCTCCCACATTTTATGACCGAATGTGCGCGGCGCTAAGGCGAGAACCACATTTTGAAACGGTACCGTCCTCAATCCGTGAGGCTCTTGCAATTGTTTGAAACGACAGATGTGCGCGGCGCTAAAGCGATAACTGCATTTTGAAAGCGGCCCGCCCTCAATCCGTGAAGCTCTCGGAATTTGTTGCAACAAATGTGCGCGGCGGTGGGGCGAGAACCACATTTTGAAAACGACCCGCCCTCAATCCGTGAAGCTCTTGCAATTTGTTAAAACGAATCTGCGCGGCGCAAAGGCGAGAATCACAATTTGAAAACCACCCGCCCTCAATCCGTGAAGCTGTTGCAAACTGTGAGAAAGGATGTGCGCGACGCTAAGGCGAGAGCCACATTTGGAAAACCACCCGCCCTCCATCTGTGAAGCTGTTGCCACTATTTAAGCTTCAACATCATAAGTGATAAATCTCTGGCAAAACGCACGGCCCACCCTTTCGACCGGCCTCGGGGTCCGACAGGGAAAAGATATTTATAAGAAAAAAGAGAGGAGGAGGGAGAAGAAGAGGAGGAGGAGGAGGAGAAGGCGTAGGAGTTAGGAGTGGAAAAAAGTTAGGAGGTAAGAGCCAGTAGTAGCAACAGTAGTAGTAGTAGTAGAAGAAGTAGTCGTACTAGTAGTAGTAGTAGTAGTAGTAGTAGTAGTAGTAGTAGTAGTAGAAGAAGTAGTCGTACTAGTAGTAGTAGTAGTAGTAGTAGTAGTAGTAGTAGTAGTTGTAGTAGTAGTAGTAGTAGTCACAGCAGTAGTAGTAGTAGTAGTGGTAGCGGTAGTCGTAGTAGCAGTGGTAGTAGTAGTAGTAGTAAAAGTAGTAGTAGTAGTAGAAGTAGTAGTAGTCGTAGTAGTAGTAGTAGTAGTAGTAACAGTAGTAGTAGTAGTAGTAGTAGTAGTAGTAGTAGTAGGACGCGTAGTAGTAGTGGTAGTAGTGGTAGTAGTAGTCGTAGTAGTAGTAGTAGTAGTAGTAGTAGTAGTAGTAGTAGTGGCACTCGTAAACATAGTCGTAGTCGTAGTTGTAGTGGTAGTAGTAGTCGTGGTCGTAGTCGTAGTAATACTACTACTAGTAATCGTAGTAGTAGGCGTAGTAGTAGGAGCCGTAGTAATAATACAAGTAGTAGAAGTCGTAGCCGTAGTAGTAGTTATTAAAACAATCGTAGCCGTGGTTGTTGTAGTAGTAGAAGTAGTAGTCGCAGTAGTAGTAATAAATGTAGTTGTGGTAGTAGTAGCAGTAGTAGTCGTAGTAGTAGTAGTAGTAGTAGTAGCAGTAATAGTACTAGTAGTGGTGGTGGTAGATGTAGTAGTAGTAGTAGTAGTAGTAGTAGAAGTAAAAGTAGAAGTAGAAGTAGTATTAGTAGTAGTGGTAGTAGTGGTAGCAGTAGAAGTAGCAGGAGTAGTAGTATACGTAGTAGTAGTAATACTATCACTAGTAGTCGTAGTCGTAGTAGCCGTAGTAGTAGTAGTAGTAGTAGTGGTAGTAGTAGTAGTAGTAATAGTAGTAGTAGTCGTAGTCGTAGTCGTAGTAGTAGTAGCCGTAGTAGTAGTAGTAGTAGTAGTAGTAGTAGTAGTAGTCGTAGTAGTAGTAGTGGTAGTAGTAGTAGTAGTAAAATTAGTCTTAATCGTAGTAAAAGTCGTAGTAGTAGTAGTACTAGCAGTAGTAGTAGTAGCAGTAGTAATAGTAGTAGTAGTAGTAGTAGTAGTAGTAGTAGTAGTAGTCGTAATAGTCGTGGTAGTAGCAGTCGCAGTCGCGACAGTACTAGTAATAGTACTAGTAGTAGTAGTCGTAGTGGTACACATCGTAGTAGTAGCAACAAAACTAATAATAGTAGTAGTCGTAGTCGTAGTCGTAGTAGTAGTAGTAGTAGTAGTAATAGTAGTAGTAGTAGTAGTAGTAGTAGTAGTAGTAGTAGTAGTAGTAGTAGTAATAGCATTAGTAGTCGCATGGTGGTCGTAGAGATAACAGTACTCGTAATGGTAATACTACTAGTGGTAGTAGTCGTAGTAGTAGTGGTAGAAAAGAATCAGACAGCCGTAGTAGTAGTTGTAGTAGCAGTAGTCGTGGTAGTGGTAGTGGTAGTGGTAGTGGTAGTGGTAGTAGTGGTAGTAGTAGTAGTAGTAGTAGTAGCAATAGTAGTAGCAATCGTAGTAGCAATAGTAGTAGTAGTAGTAGTAGTAGTAGTAGTAGTAGTAGTAATAGTAGTAGTAGTAATAGTAGTAGTAGTAGTAGAAGTCGTGGTAGTGGTGGGAGTAGTATTAGTAGTAGTAATCGTGTTGTTGTTGTTGTTCGTAGTAGTAGTAGTAGTAGTAGTAGTAGTAGTAGTAGTAGTCGTAGTCGTAGTAGTAGTAGTAGTAGTAGTAGTAGTAGTAGTAGTAGTAGTAGTAGTAGTAGTAGTAGTAGTAGTAGTAGTAGTAGTAGTAGTAGTAGTAGTAGTAGTAGTAGTAGTCGTAGTAGTCGTAGTAGTAGTAGTAGTAGTAGTAGTAGTAGTAGTAGTAGTAGTAGTAGTAGTAGTAGTAGTAGTAGTAGTAGTAGTAGTAGTAGTAGTAGTAGTAGTAGTAGTAGTAGTAGTAGTAGTAGTAGTAGTAGTAGTAGTAGTAGTAGTCGTAGTTAGTAGTAGTAGTACTACTACTACTACTACTACTACTACTACTACTACTACTACTACTACTACTACTACTACTACTACTACTACTACTGAAAGTAAGAGGAGGAGGGGGAGGAGGAGGAGGAGGAGGAGGAGGAGGAGCGCACTGCGCCGCGGCGGGCCCCAGCCTCACGACGGCGACGCACGCTCTGGGCAGCCCCGCTCCCTCTCTTCGACAGTCAGCGGCGCCGTCACTGTGACTGCCTGGCCTTTGGCTGCGGCGCGGGGCGCTCTGCCTGCCCGCAGGCTGTCCCGATGCCGCTTCTGCTCCGCTCGGTCGGGGCAGACGGCCTGGAGCCCCGGCGGGCTCGTCCGCGAGCAGAGCCCGCACCTGCCGCACCAGACCCGCGGCCGCATGCGCCACAGGGCGTAGCCGTGGCTTGCAGCAAGGTGCGGGCCGAGGACGACCGGGAGCCGCGCTGCCGCGCAGCCCTCACAACGGGCGTGAAGCCAAGGCCCGGCGGCTTTGCGACCGCACCCCGCACCGCAAGCACGCCCAACCGCGAGCATCCCCTGTGGGACGTGCCCGCGCCCCTCGCCGGCCACCAGCTGCAGGCAGACTTTGGGGGTGCGGTCGGCGCGCAGCGGCCGCGCCTGAGGGTCAGGGCACTCTTGTTCCTGGAGCGCCCTGGTTGCGAGCTCCGCCTAGAAGCAAAAGGCGAACCGCACCTTAGCTGCCTCGGCCTTGCACGCCTCGTGATCGTAGACGAGGCATTCGTTGGTGCCCTGCTGCGCGCCTTCCCCCGCCCACTCGTCGGCGCCGCGATTGGCGAGGGAGCTCTGCTGCTCCTCGCGAGAGGCCTGCACCAGGAGGGCGTCCGTGCGGTGGGTTTCCACCGTGCTGAGGAGCGCGCCGTGGTCCCCAGGCCTGTGTCCGTCGATCTTGATCCGCCATAGGTTAGCGTTCGGAAGTGCAGAGCACGTGCACCACTGCGGGCCCGTCATCACTGGCAGGCGCACCTGCAGCGGACCCTACAGCGCAAGCGAGAGCTGGCCGCCCAGCCCCTTCTCTCCCGCCTGCTGCGCCGCCCAGCCTGCGCGCTCGAGCCAGCGCAACCTGCCCTTGAACGCCCCGTCTGTGGCGACATGGCCGGTGAGCGCTGGCAAGCCCTCCGCGCTCGACTCGGGCCAGTTCGGCACACCTCTCACGAGAATGGTGGCCACACAGGGAGCTCCACCGAAGGCCCTGGCGGCAGAGTCCGCATGGCGGACTCGGGCCAGTTCGGCACACCTCTCACGAGCATCGTAGCCCCAATGGGTCATGGGGGATCCACCGTAGGCCCCAGTGGCAGGATCCGCATGGCGGACTCCGGCCAGTTCGGCACACCTCTCACGAGGATCGTGGTCCCATAGGGAGCTCCACGGAAGGCCCTGGCGGCAGGGTCCGCACGCGTTCCCGTGCCCATTTCAGCACACCCATCACGAGGATCGTGTCCCCGAATTCCAAGCGCAAAGATTATACCGCGTGCGCTATTCCGAATTTTCGTGTCCACCTGCTTCGTCTGATTTTCATTGGTTGGGTCTCTCGTCAGGCTCATTTCATCAACACTACCACTGCCACAAAGGCAAACCGCAAAAGCCTCAGTCAGCCGGCGCTGAGCTGGCTGGGAGAGGCTGTGCTGCGATGGGGCTAGCTACAGAGAGGCCCCACCCCAGCGAGAGAGCGAACAGGAGGAGGAGGAGGAGGAGGAGGAGGAGGAGGAGGAGGAGCAGGAGCAGGAGCAGGAGGAGGAGGAGGAGGAGGAGGAGGAGGCAGAGGAGGAGGAGGAGGACCAGCAGCAGGAGGAGGAGGAGGAGGAGGAGGAGGAGGAGGAGGGCGACCTGATACAGAGCATCGACCGGGGCCCCTGACCCAGTCAACACTCAGGCCGAGCGGTTGGGCACGCTCCCTCCGGGCTGCGCCCAGCCGCCTTCTGCCCCCTCCTCCCACCATTTCTCCCCGCCCCCGTCCCCTCTTTCTCTTTTCCTGCCCGGCTTGCGCCCGACTTCTCCAGGTAGCTCGGGCCCTGGGCAACTCGGTTTCGGAACCTGAGTTCGCCCTGACCCGAGTTACCCCTGATGACTTGGGGCTCTGGACGCCCGAACTATCCGGGGTACCTAGGGTCCTGGGCAACTCGGGTTCGGATTCCCGAGAAACGAACCCGAGTTCGCCCTGACCCGAATTACCCCTGATGACTTGGGGCTCTGGGCGCCCGAACTATCCGGGGTAACTTGGGCCCTGGGCAACTCGGGTTTCGGACTCCCGGAGAACGAACCCGAGTTAGCCCTGACCCAAATTACCCCTGATGACTTGGGGCTCTGACCCACATCACCCCCGCCCCACCCCTGCCCCCGGCCTGGAGCAAACGCTGCGGCAAGGCCTCTGGCGGCGGGCGATCCAGGCGACGCTGCACCTCGTGCTGCGGCGGCCCCCCAATGTCCCAAAAAGGGAAAGGGGGGTCTCCCAAACGGGAAAGGGGATGTCGCACAGGGCAGTGGAAGGGCAAAGCGGGGAAAAGGTCACAAGGAGCAGAGCGGGGATGGTGGAAGGTGTGGGGGGGGAGAAAAGGGCCGGGATGACAAGGTGGGTTGCGGGGGAAGCTCTGAAGAGCAAGCTTGCTGGTCGAGAGGGTGCGTTCCGCATTTGAAACCCAAGCTCTACCCGCAGGCGCAAGGTTCGATCGGATCATGCTATACTCAAATGATCCTGCACAGGCCGCGGCCCATGCGCAAACCGGAAGGTGACTGAAAGGGGGGTAGGAGGAAACAAGGCGAGCAGGAGAGGCATGGGGGGCGAGCGGGTTGGCGGGCGGGCGCGGGCGCGGGTGCGGGGCACGGAGGGGAAGGGGAAATGCGGGGGGGGGGATTGGGCAAAGGAAACCTATACAGGGCAGGTCGTTTTAGGGTCCAAAAATCCGCTGGGCCAGACATCGTTCTAGCTCGCGCGCCTCGACCCGCCTCTAGAGGCGGCCGAGCTCTTGCAGTAATGCGATTACCATGAGCAATGACGGCAGGCGAGACGACGAAACCACTTCCTGGGGTGTGGCCTGGGAGGACGAGGCTCCGCCAGACCGCGCTGGGCGCGCAAACCCACGGTCCAAGACGCACTCAGGTGCCGACGGTGGTCCGACCACGCGTTCAAGGCACGGGCCGTTGATGGGAGGATTCCGACGCCAAGCGGGTGGGCTGATTAAGCATTCTCCCTCACTTCGAGTGACCGCGCCCAGCCGTCAGGCGCAAAGAGGGAAGCGCCCTCGCCCTTGCCCCAATAAGCCTGCAACCATGTACATTGGCGCGTCGCTACTTATAAAGCTCCATAGTTGGCTCGCCACGGTAAATGTGCACGCTCTGGTTAGCTAGCGCTGGTGCATTAGCGGTGACGAAGATTGTCTGCCTGTCTGGCGGATGCACCCTTGGTCGCTCATGACGGGTCAGTTCCTTCCGACCGCCCAGGTCGCATCAAGAACCCGAATCGACTAAACGCACTCTTTCCTCAACGGCAGCGGCAATAACATATTCTCAAGCGCGGCGCCGCCTGCCCGCTTCAAGTCGCCGCTGAAGCAGAACGTCCGAGTCCCAGAATGTCACATCACGATTCCATGAGTCAGTCTCCGAGGACGCAGAGGGATCAACGCACGTGGGGGCGAGACGATATCGGTTGTGCCTGTCGTGCGCTCCGCTCAAAGCAACTTCATCGCCCGGGCGTCTTGCGGCCGCGCGAGCGGCTTTTACTCGGCCTGTTCGATGAAATAGCGAAAAATATTCGATGCGCTCGTCGCTCGAAATTTTGCTGTCTGTCGTGCGACGGTTCGGTTTCGCCAAATTGAGCAGCATGGCGCTTGCTGATTTTTCGGGCGCGCCCGCCCCACCATTAACAGTGGCCCTGGTGGGGCAAGGCGGGCGCCCACTCATTGAGTGTCTCGCTGGCTTGATAGTGCGATGCAACCGATGCGCCATGCGATCGACCTGTTGGGCGCCGTCGCGATCGCATTGGCAGTATGATTCGCTGAAGCTTCTACAGTTGGAGCCTTCGGGGCTCTGCAAGCAGCGGAGTCCTCCGCCGCGGCGCCCCTCTCCGCGCCGACCCCCGTCGCCGCTGCGTCATGGAGGAGGCGCCCCCCCTCGGCGACGACCCGGCGCCCTCCCCGCGTGGAACAGGGGAGGCCGCGCATGGGCGGTCTACATCGGTGGGCGCGCTGGGGGGCCGCGGTGTGCGAGCGCCACCGCGACCAGTCCTCGGACTGGTCTCGCGACGGTTGCCCTTGCCGTTGGGGCTCTTGACTCGCAGCGGGGTGTTTGGGGGCGTCCCCCCTCGCCGCTCTCTGGCCCGGCGGGGCGCGACTTCGCCTGTCTCCGCGCCCAGGGGCCGCGTTCTGTCAATGCCGTTTGGGGGGGGCTCTGACTAGGGCTTGGTCCTGTGAGTTGCCCCTTCTCATATTGCGGGCCCCCTCAGCGCGCGGGGGGGCGATCGCGATGGGCCCCGCGCGCTGCCGCGGCCGTTAGATCTGCCTCTAGACTGCCGGGGGGGCCTGGCCGAGACCCCGTCATTTGCGTCGTGGGCGCCTGGATTCGCCGCGCGCGCGGAAGCGCGCGCGCCGCCTCGGGCGCAGTTGCCCTTCCGGTAGAAGGTGCGTGACTTGTTATGTGCTTCTTCAGGGCCAGGCCTGCTGCATCGGCCGTCTCTGGCATGCTCGTGGCAGAACTTATCGGGTATAAATCGGCAGCAAATCCCCCCGCTGCATCAGCATTTTTGCCGCCCTTCACGGCGGGTGGGGCGACCCCGAGGGCGTCCGTCGCCGTGGGCTGATCAGCTCCCCGCGCGCAGTCGCCGCAGATGCCCTTGCGTGCGGCCGCGGCGCTCTTCCCTCGATATCGTTTGGCCACCTCCCTCTTGCGCGGGGACCGTTGCTGGCGCTCGAGAAGCTTCTGGCATCTATCGCAGAGCCGCTGGTGCGTCTTGTCGGGTCGCCCCGCTGCGTCCCATGGTGCGCGCCCATGTCAGTCTTCACGATCCAATGGTGTTCCACTTGCGACCGACAGGGGGCTTCGCGGACATTGGCGGCAGGGGCCGGCGTCGTGCCGCGTGCGATGTAGCCTCGCGCTTCAATGGACTTGCTCAGACTGTTGTCGGCCATCTTGACGCCGTCCAAATGGGGGCGTCAAAGACTGCAGTTCGGTTTGGTTTCCTCCACGCGGGCGAAGATCTGTCGTCTGAGGTCGTCATTTCGAAGGATTTCGCTGAGGGTCGACGCGAGCTCTGCGTCGAGCGCGTCATAGTCCCCGCTGTCAGCGAACTTCTCATGCGTAGTTCCCTCACCATCAACCTCGCGGAACCATCTGAATGCCGCTCCTGGACTTCCCGATGCCGCGCCGGGCTTGACGTTTCGTCGGCCCCTTGATTCCGCGCCCGGAAGTAAAGAACGGAGGGCAAACGCCTAAACTGGAGGCGTTCTGCCTCTGTGCGGTTCGCTTTTGTCATTGACTCCGCGACCGCTTCTGCGGCAGACTGACCGTCGTTCGATGAGTCCACGCCGGCGCCGACTCTTTCGATTTCGGACGGCGGCGGAGCTTGTGGCGCATCGCGCCGAGTCTCTGGTGACTGAGACAGAAGTTCTTGCATGATTGGCTTGTCGCGTTCTGGTCTACTTGGCGTATTCGGTGGTCCTCGCAGTTGCAGTGATGGTCTCCAATCAGGATGCGGCAATGGCGGTGGTGGAACACTGATTACTTCCCTCTCCGCAGGCGCCGCATCATTACTCGCGCCGGGATTTCCCGCCGCAGCAGCATCGGCTTTTGCTGGCGCGACAGCGTCGGCCTTCGCCGAAACCGCAGGCAATGTCATTGGCGGATATCGCCCGCGACTCTCCAGTCGGCCAATTCCCTGGCCGCTGGTGGGAATGGGCTTCCTTGCTCCCAAATGGGCGTCCGCCCCGCTGGACTAGCGCGTCGCGTGGCGGGGGGCGGCTGTCGGGCTACCGCCGCCAGCTGCATATTTTTCCTGATTGTGCTCGACGACGTTTCGCGCAATATTGCCCGCCCTCATGTCTGTGCGATTACTAATTTCAGCAGCAGCTTCGTTGCGGACCCCATCCACATTGGAGTCGCTGTTGTCGCGGGCCTGGCTACTCAAGTTGGCGCTGCGAATGTCATGCTCGTCGGGCTGGGGCTGGCGCTCTCAAAAAGAAAAGCCTCGCCCCATCTGCGCTATCCAGACTCTCCCGGAGAAGCGATGGCTCTTTGGTATTTAACAAACCTTGCTTTCAAATACTTTCTTGAGAGCAGGGTCTGATCTCGCTGGTGTCGTGTAGAATATGAACCTGGGCCCGCGCTGTTGATGCATGATGGAGTTGCTGAGTTGACTCGGTGTGGCAGTCCTCAAACATGATAGCTCTGGTCTCGAGCGTGCCGTGTCTTTGCGCGACGTTCTCAATCGCGCTGGTTCGCTCCAGAATCTGACTTGCTCACTTTGCAATTGCTCGCTGGTTAACTTAGCGTGCCTGCGCAGTGGCAGCAACCGCGTTGCCCAGGGTCCCCCGAGCTTCAGGGTCCACAGTCTGATCGTCATGCGCTTGAGAGGCGTTTGCGAAATCAGTAGCAGGTTGCTCACAATATGTTGAGATCGCCTCTGGTTGTCGTTAACAACATTCATTCTATTTTGCGAAGTCAAGACCTGCAAATGTGTTTCGGCCATTTGCTGGCCGATTGTCGCAGTTGTCTGAAGCAAAACAGCAGTTAAAATCGACCTTGGTTTCTCGACGGCGGCTGCTTCGGACCAACCTTGCATCCCGCCTGTTGTCTACTTATATGTTGTTCGACCAATCGTGACGGTGCTGGTTGCACCTGCTCGAATGGGAAGGGTGCCCCAGTGCTCTCGGGCGCCCTCGGTTCCGGAATTTCGTGACCCTGTATGGCGGTCGCTGGGTACGGGGCAAACCTTGTTTCTTCCCATCCCATGCGGGATCTTGCCGCGTCTGCGCCAAGCCTCCCCGCCGCAATTGCATCGGCCTTCGCCGACGCAGTAGCGTCACGTCTCCCCGCCGCAATCGCCCTATCACGCGGGCGGGACGGGAGATGTGGACCTTTGCCCGAGGCGCGGTCCATTGGCGCGACTTGCCCGTGCCCTGATGGCTGCGATTTCGCAGCTGCTGGTCTCGACGCCTTCAAACCACATGATTCGTCGAGGATGATGGCTTGGAGGTGTGCTTTTAGCTCGCCCGTATCTGCCAACTTAAATGGAACGCTTGGAACCATTTGCAATGCTTGGGCTGCGCTGGCTGGAAAACTGGTTCTAGTCGGGTCGCCTTGGAAGGCGGCCGAGTTCCTTTCATGATCGTGCGTTTACCGTTGGCAATTCGAGTCAGGCGATAAGACGATGGAGGAGGAGGGGGGCACGCGGCACGCCGGACCCACCCTT